AGGGGCTGCTCCAGCGACACGGTCACCTTGATGGAAATGATTCAGGCGTCGACGTCTTCCGGCAAGTCATCCCACATCGTCAAAAGCGAGGATAAGTGAAAGACGGCGAATCCGCTGATTCAGAGTCAAAACATCATCTGATACCATTACCGTCAGGAAGCTCTTGAAATCATTGGGCTTGGCTGCTCGTCCGTCGGTCGGTCGGTCAGTCAGTCAGTCCCATTGAATGGATTTCGCCTGCCCCGAGTCGAGTAGGGCAAAGTTTCCATGGAGAGAGCAAACGCCAAGTTTCTCAGTCAGTAGGCGCTGACTACTGCACTTCGAACGACCGAAGACGGCTGGCAGCACTACGGCAACGTCGACCACTGCGGCTACATGGCGAACGAGGAAAGCTGGCGAAGACGAGAGGCCCATGAATCGAGCCCATGCTAGAACCGCTGCTGCCGGGGGCACCACCTCAGATTAGAACGCACCTGCCTACCTGCGACTCCCTTCACTGTCTACCTCACCGACGTCGTTGGAGGGGGAACGACGAACGAGCGGACAGATGAACGGACGGACGGACGAACGAGCGGACGGACTGGGGAAGAACACACCACAAATGCGAGGAGACCGAGCGAGCGACGAACAGCGCTACCAGCCTGGGAGGGGTTTAAAATTGAGCTTCAATTCATAAAATATTCAGGTGGAGTCGTCCTGCGACAAACGATCATCGCAAGCAAACGGCGGGCGGGCGAGCGAGCGACACGAGCTCGACAGGAACGAACAGAGAAACACCAAATAAAATTCGAAGCCGCGGCAACTGGGTCCCCCTGAGCGATTGGGCGCATGACGCCCGACGCACGGAGAGTCCCCCCCCCCCCCACTGCACGGAGCGAGTGCCTAAGGATTGCGCGCTTCTGCTCGCAAACACGCTGTATTGGCTCGGCATGCGCCTGACAGTTTTGCGCAGAATCGAACTCTGCGCCCATCCGGCTGCTCAGCAGTTCCACTGGGGCTTGCGTCAAGTGTGACGTCTCGCTCTCAGCCGTTTTCGACACAGTCGGTGCCGTCGCGGATTTTTCTGCCGCTCCGTGCGAGGAAGCTAGCAAGGAAGCAATTCACTGCCCGATGAATCGACACACACATCGCGCTGGCAGAGACGGCGCGTACTTCCAAGTGGGAACGAACGTAGACCCTGCTCCGTCGGTGAACGGTCGGACGGTCGGTCGGTCGGACCGATGGATGGACGAGCGAACGACCGACCGACAGATAAAAGCCGAGTCCTTGGAGGAAGTCCAAGTTGAATACAAATGAGCGGCAGCGGCCACCGCATGGCATGTTGACGCCATCACAGAAACCGTCAAGGATTTCGCGACCAAATCCGCCTGCTTGCCTCTTCGTCCGCTCGCTTGCTCATCGCCGTCGTCGGTCTACGGCCGAAGCATGACGGCTACGAGCGATGGAATCGAATATTCCCAATTTCGCTCAGCCACTCAGGGGGGGAGGAATAGGCTGACATCGGTCGATTCGAGGAAATTCCGCAATTCCCTCCTCTGACGGGGGGAAATCTGTTGATTCCCTTCGGATCGGAAATCGCCTCACCAGCGACGACGACGCTCAGAAGACACAGAAATTCAGTCTCAGGCTTTGAGTGAAAGCGGCGACGAAGAGAAACGGTCGCGATAAACAACGAAACCGGCCCGAGACGCTTGGTCGGTAGGACAGGTGACGTGATTCAGTCTAACCGGCTCGAACCGGAGACGCGGCTCGCAGCGAAGGCACGCTCAGCAAGAGCAATCAGAGACCGGCTGGGGAAAACTAGACCGTTGGAAAGGGGAGCAAAGAAGGGAACCAAGAGTAGAATGCAAGGATTCACGAGCGTAGACGGGTAGATGATAGAGGATGCAAGCGTTCGGAGGAGGGGTAACTTGTTAGCAAAGCAGCACCACATCACAGAGTGTTTTTCTCTTTTTTAAGCAAAGACGCAAGCAGAGAGCTATGTAAGCAACCGAAGTCTCACTCGTGCACCGGACAATCCAGTTCGGAAAGAAGTCACATCTTCTGGCTCACAGGTTGGTTCTTCGCTCGGTAGACCTCGCTCAGTCGGTCGACTGCGTGCTTCCGTCGGGTGTGCGCTCCTTACTTCGGCGGGTGGTTTGGAGGTCAAGAGACGTTGGCGTCAAATGCATCAGCCAACGAAACAGCGACCGTCTTCGAAGTGAGGACCGATCCCCTTTCTCAAAAACCCTTGCTCGATCTTTGAAGCGATGGAGCGCTGAGGTATGCGACTTCACGAGGGTATGCGGCGACTCACGATCCTCCGCCAACAGTTCCGTGGCTTCCCCAAACCCCGAAAAGCCGCTCGACGCTTTCCTCCGGACCGTCATCTCCCGCGGCTCGTCCGTGTTGCTCACGCAAGGTCCGCGACGTTTTCCTCTGAAACGAGACCGGGAACCGAAAGATTCCTCCGGAAAGCCGAGCGGCTCGTATCCGACGTGACGTATCCAGAAGGTGCACTGCACCCGGAGCTCGCCTCTTTTTTTTAGCCATTGTGATGACATCGTGGAGGTTAGTCATCCGAACACGGTGGATGGATACCTTTCGACTCGATTCACCACCTTTCCGAAGAGGCGCCCATCACGGATCCAGGTCGAAGGACGTCGTGATCGACCTGGCGTGATTCAGCTCCGGGGATCTCCTCCTGGAAATCGTGCGGAAACCGAATACTGTACCGAGCGTTGGGACATCGATGCGAGCGAGCCCCTCCGATCAGCAATCAGTTCATTTTCTAGATGGATTGTTCGTCGAAGTGAGAGCTAAGCGAGACAACGCTCCGGAACTTCTCCGGGGAACGTCTTCTGCTGTTTAACAGACACGGGAGTCGTCAAGCGTAAGCGTTGCCGATGCGATGGAGACTCTGAATGGCCTTGAACTGAGCCTCGTCATTGTTTAGCTTCCCCGTACGGATGGGCGGAATCGACACTGATACGTTCAGTACTTGGGCCGAAACAGCACGCAAAAGATCTATCTTCGATCGGCGCATCCTGAATTCGATTTTTTTCATTATTGCTAATTTTTTAACCGGCAGTGACTCGATGAAGTCTCCCTCATGGGCTTCTTGGGGGCATAGCGCTCAGGCTAGGCGGAACGAGGAGATCCTTATCATTTTTCGTATCTTCCAATCGATATTTGAGCATCGCCGAAACTGGGACTCACGCCATGGAATCGACAGAGATGTCTTGTTGAAGGGATCGCTCGATCGAAGACGATGACGTTCATAGTCGAATTCACGAGAACATCTTCTCCTTGTTCGATCGATCCGACGAGGAACATCCTTTGGATTCTGGTCACGAGAAGCTTTCTTCCGATGTCGATTCTCAAGACGACACAGATAATAATAATCGTTCGACCTTGTTCAACCTTCACAGTATACGGCCACCATTCGGAATCCTGCTCCGCTTCGATTGATTCGAACATTGATCTTGCTTTGACGAAGTGAATAAAAATTCAGTTTCGCATTTCTTTCAATCTTGTACGAATCTTCGCTCATGGTCCTCCGGTTGGAGTTTCCTTCCTTCTCCTCGGGAATGAAGAGCGGACGATGCTCTCAGAAATTGAATTACAGCCCGCTTCGGGAATCTACGTGGCGGTCGAAACTGCTCAGGGGAGAAGAGCAGAAGATGAAGTTCCAGGCGAACATCATTTGTCAAGCTCCGATGGAATTATTGCAGAATGCTGGACCGGTTCAAGTTCTTGAGTTCTGAATCGAAAAATGGAAAGCGTCTTCTTCTGATCGAAGTTTGCCGTCGCACCGTCTCCGAAACTGAAGACGCCCCGGGCGGGCGAAGTTTCCTCCGAGCGCTCCGCTTCTTCATCGATGCTGCTGAGAGTAGCGCCGTATTGACTCGAAACCTGTTTCGATATCGGCGAAAAACGTTCCGCTCGCGCTGGGGACTCTCTCGAGCGACCGCTTTCGAATCCCTCCGTCTCAAGAAAAACGGCCACGGCGGACCGACCACGAGCGAAGCAGATAATGAACATAACTCACTTTTGAAATTATTACAACATATTCTGCCTCAGGACTCAGTGAGTCTTCGAATGGATTAGCACCCGAATGTCCACGGCCGTTGCGAGGGAAAGTTATTCGCCAATGATTGGATTCGCTCACTCTGCTGAGAATTTCAGCGGATGTCAGGTACCCGTCCGACGCTCTCGGGGATACAGCAGGAGACGCTTCCATCTAGAATCTCGAGCCCATCAGCCGGGACTCTTTTGGGAGACAACTCGCAGTAACTCCGCGGTGTCTGTTGCAAGAATATTCATCTGAATCCTCATCTTCTGGTCGGTTCCCGGAGAGCCGACGCTCGAGGCGACTGATCGGCGCCACAGAAAAGCGCACGTAGCCCAGCAGACTCCATACACCTCTCTAGCCTAGAGAAGCATGAAATGGGTTGGGAATTGAAGATTACCGTGTTATTACTGTCATTTCTGCAGTGACGGAACAACACGGCTTCCAGAAAAGACAAAGCAAGGATGAAATAATCCCGGTGACGCGAGATCCGCAATTATTCGTTATGAAGCGAATCAAGTCAGAAGTGTCGCACTATCATGTCGTCAATCAGGGAATCGTCTCAGATGGCGAGGTTCAAGGAGCCGGGATCTCGATACCATCCCCCTCCGGAGCTCGATTCCTTCTCTTCCAGAGCTGGAGCTTGAATTCGGGATCTTACTCTGACGTTGGGCCATTGATGATGATGCGATCGACTGAGGGTCGAAGTACGTTTTCGAATCGTCGTCCTGAGGTCTCTGATGGATTCCAATTACCAGCTCCATTGATTCTGAATCAGGGTCTACTCCTTCTCCGACCGTGCGAGGGAGCTAGACGTAAGTAGAAGGCAGGTGTCCAGAAGAAGCGGAATTGTCAGTTCTCCCGGCTCAGATCGGGCGGAGCTACGCTCTCCGATTAAGTAGGTAGTTCGGTTTTCTAAAAATCGAGCTCCCGTCGAAGGCTCAGTTTTATATTTATTCGGTTCGCTTATTCGTTTACTAGGGCGTATTCGCATCACATGATCAGGAAGATGAACCCACGACGGTAAATGTAGCCGCGAACAACGGCTGAGCATACACTGTTGAAGAATGGAAAACACGGTGCTGAATTAGATGTAAAGCAACAAGCACCGTTGATGAGGAGGTTCTCCCGGCATTTGTTATCTCATCTAGAGTATCTAAGACAGTCTTCCTAAGGATTACTATCATTCCCTGTTCTCTTTTCAAAACGAAGCTAATCGGAGTGGGGTGCGAAACATCGACACCACCGTTGAAACACGTTCGTCCTCTTCGGTGCGAAACATCGACTATCGAGGCTCGTATGAGAAAGTCTCAATCAACATATCGAACAATCCCACAGGATAGATGCCCAGCATCCCAGTGAGAGTTCTCTCAGCGTCTCAATGGTCCACCCAGGACCCATCGGAGCCATGACTATTATCCTTGACTAAAAGTATTTACACCTTCGTTGACAGTTCGAGCTGTCGCAACTCAGTTAAACGCACGCACTTCATTCTCGCATTCCCAAATCGCTCACTCACTCACTCAGTTCTTGCACGCGAAGCCTTCGGCGACTTCGCAAGAGGAGATTCACACTAGAGCGCTAGCTGCCCAGCCCCCCGTCGCAGCCTCGCCTATCTATTGACTTAGCTCTGACAATGAGATTTTCCTTCAAAACTGAGGCTCTTCGTCCATGTCCTTGACTAGAATTTGAGGACTTTGCCGTGCAGACTTTTCGCTGTCATCATCATCATGGTCACCGACGCTCCGACCTTCGAGAATGGCTTCGATTTCGTGATGACTCTTGTTCGCTGTTTCCGGAATGCAGAACGCGACAAACAGGAAAGCCGTCAAACACCATGCCGAATACATGAAGAACACGAAGTGCGAACTCAGAGCCTGAACCAAGTCGTCGTAGGTTTTGATGAGGAGGAAGAACGAAGCCCAATTCGTCGACGTCGCCAGAGATGAAATCAGACCCGACACCTTGGTGGGTGCGATTTCCGCGACCACAAGCCACGGCAAAGGTCCGAAACCAATCGAGAAACCGATGACCGCCACTACGCAACACAGAACGGGCAGCCACGACAGCGACGTTTCCTTGTACTGACTGAACGCGAAGCCCGCTAAAGACAAGCTCATGAGGAGCGCCGAGAACATCAGTGGAATCCGGCGGCCGAGGTTGTTGGTGATTTTCGAAGCGATGGCGTTCAGCGCAACTTGAGTCCCTTGCAGCATGATCGTACAGTAGACAGGGTTGAGGGACGGTGCGGCGTCCCGCATGATCGGGACCGCGTACATCATGATGGCGTTGATCCCGGAAAATTGCTGGAACAGCATCAAACTCATCGCTATTCCTGCAGCTTTGAGCGTCGATTTGCGGAACAGATCCCGGACCGACAGAGCGCTATGGAGGTCTTCCTGAGTTCCTTTCATGATGAGAATTTCCAAGTGCGCGTCAGAATTACTGCCGTGCAGCGCGCTCATCGCTTCGATCGCCTTGTCGACCCTGTAGAGAGAGAAGAGATCTTCAGGTCGATACGCATTATCTTTGACGTGCTTCGGGCCAAATCCCACGACTGTCGAATTCGAGCAGTCGGGAACTTAATATATCGAAGCTCTCCGGGGATAGAACACAAGATACTGACCTTCCTTTGGAAACGAGAAGTTTCGGGGAGCGGGGCATGAACAGGAGCAGGAGCCCCATGCAGGCTGGCAGACAGGCGCTGCAAAGCGCCAGACCGCGCCATTCGAATAAGAAGCCGCCAATTATGCCGCAGAAGAGAATACCTGGAAACGGGATGTTTAGTACTTATTTAGTACGTTCCCGTTTGTAACATGATCGAACTTGATGCTCGGGTGGGGCTAGTTCGAAAGCAGGGACATGGATCGAGCGAGGGGAATCCTCACGTCAAGTAATCTAGAATCCAGACAGCCTAGCATTTTTTTGGAAGATCGATCGATCAATCTGAATGAGAGGACTTTCAGTTCCATTATAATTTGCTTCTCGAGCATATCCCCGAGTCTCGCTCGCCTCATCAATCGATGGGGTGTTTGCGCGCGATTAATGACGAAATATTTACCGCCAGATATGATGCCACCGAAGAGTCCTCCTAGGAGACCACGCTTCTCTTTCGACGAGATTTCTACGATGTACACTGGTCCAGCAACGCAAATCATTCCAGTACAGAAACCTGTCAGAACCCTTCCTGTGAAGAGTTCGAGCGTCGATCTCGCGAACGCGATCACGAGCCATCCGATCGAAAAAGGTATGCAAGCGGTCAGCAGGGTGATTCGACGCCCTATCGAGCTAGCGAGAGGAGCTGTAAAGGAAAAGATTGACTCATTTACAATAATTGGTCGCAGGGCGGGAAAGCCTAAAGCGTCTGAGACCTCATCCATGCCTCGAAAACGTCAAATACGATCGAGCGTGACGTCACGGCCGCCGGACTATCCATGACGAGCCGCAAAAAAAAAACTGTTGACGGAACTTTCCGAAAGAAGAAGCATCCGAGTCCAGTGTGACCGGAGACACCTACGGCGACTTCGAATGAAAATCGACTCTTTGTTTTCGTCTAGTTCATCGAATCTAGTCTAGACGTGTTCATGTCCCGATGACGTCGGTCTGTTTTAGAACATACCACAATAGTTTGTGTAATTCGAGTCGGTGTCTGGGACATTCGATCTGTGGGCTAATCGACCCGGCAACAACTGAATCCTTTGTTCTCGGTTTTCAGACCAGAATGTTCTTTCGTCGGATGGAAATTTCCGATGCCTCGCTCAGGAAGTCGCGCCGCGGCTCGACCTTCGGTCTTCCTTCGATCTCGAAGTCCGGGACTCACCTGCCATGAACGCGCCGGGAAGAGCTGCCAGGGCCATCAGACTATTGAACCAGGCGACGTTGTCCGAGTCCCGCATGGCCTCAGCCACTATCGAGTTCGAGTCCGCCATCGACGAGATTGCCATGGAGGGGTATCCGACAACGGTGCCAATAGCCAGCGCACCCACGAATACCGAAAAGGCCGCCGGGTACATGAGTTTGACACCGGGTCTGATTATCAAGCCGGCGGGCGAAGGCGGAGCATCCTTCGAGTTCACAGGGTTTTCCGGTATGTGGAGATAGCACCTGGAAGCATGGAAAGATTTTGCTTTGGGGCTAATCAGATGATAAGATAAACTCGCAGCATCAAACTAATCTGTTCATGAGATGGAGTCCGCGTTTCTATTTCCGGACGAGTAGTTCTATGTTTGGAATATGTTTACAACGGTATATAGGACAAGAGCGGAAGGCGCCGTTCTGGGGCTCAATCCGGTGCCGAGTCCACAGCGGTCTGATAAGAAGCTCTGCCTCGAGTTTTTCCGACCGATGAATCTCGAATTCGGAAAAACACGAAATATCCCCAAGTAATGAACAGGGTCAATGCCATATAGCGGATATGTACGTATTGGGGCTGGAGTCTCCCCCGGATCTTAACAAGTCTGGGAGAATTCATCGACTGAGGTGGACGAGGGTCCGACACCTCGTTGCTCGGGCGGGCAATTCCTCCTTCTTTCTCGGTGAGCGGCTTCGATCACAGATCCCGGAAGCGAGCGGCGCAGGGCATGTTTTCCCTGATTTTTTCAGAGTTATTCCCGGGACCGTGAAAATGATTCAACTCACCCTCCGTGCGTGTTCAGTTTCGGACGTCCGTCGGCGACCGTCATTTTCGGAGTTGGATGAAGTCCCGTTCACCGTATTCCTATCGGATGCCCTCCGGCGTTGCTGTCCCGTCAGGATATCTATGCGGTCGTGCTGACGATCGATCTTCACGATCGAACAGGTGTCTTAGAAGGCCGAACCGGGGTACAAGATCAAGGACCCGTTCTGAACTTCGCTCTCCACTTTGCACTTGAAGCGAAGATGAGCTCTTCGGAGGAAGAGATCTGAGTCCTTGGCTCTAATGGGAGTGCGTGGAGCGACGACACGATGTGATGGCCAAGAGATTGACAGCTGTCTTTATATGTGGCCAGACTAGCGTCGTTCTGGCGGTCTTTGTCGATCCACGAGGATACTCATGTCTGGCGAGGAGGTTGTGAGAGCACGGTCGGGGTGAACGGAGTTACAACTGAGCGCATCTGCATGTTACGCCGCTTGACAACTGCTACAATCAGCAGCCAGTTGGCTGCAGTCGACTCGAATTGCTCAAAGCCAGGAGCTCGCAGCCTCCTGGCGCCACTAGCTGCTATCGGCCTTCGGAAAAATTCCATTCATTATCCTTGCCTTCATCACTGCCACCGCCGCCGGCGCGGCGGCGTAACCATCTTCTGTGAGTGGCCGCGCGAAGTTGAGGCGCCACTCCGTTTTGCGCCACTCTTTATCCAGACGCCGGCGACAACCGGCGTCGACGGCGATCATCGACGACAACGATATTGACGTCCGAGACCATCAGTGAATTACGCCTTAGACCTTCAATAGCGGCTCACATGTGCTGATTATTATTCATCGTCTCTCTTTCCGGATGAATGGCCTGAACCCGGGTCTCTCCGATCCGGGACGCATCGAGGGGAACGGGTTCGCTCTCCTCGACTTCCTTACATAATCGCTAGGAATCGACGTCTTCCGCACAATCACTCGCGAATATGCCGGAGCTCGGCTGGCCTGCAGGGCAACCAGGAGATACAGATCTCGATCTCGTAGGTCTCCGAATCTCGCGATTCTGGACCACGAAAACATACGTGTATGGAACGCCGCTAGAACAGATTGCGAAGGCTACGAGCGCCGCCGTTAACCTCGACCCGCGGAGGATAAGACATCAAAGGGATGTCACCAATATCTGATGCAGAACTTCCCACTGATTCGGTCCCAGGGTTTCACGTTTCTGATCATATCGCTAATTCTTATCGATAATGAATAATGGTGATCTGTATCCGTTTATTCACATTCGTTCGAACAGAAAGTTCGAGACTCCCGTCGTCTCGGATTACAACGATACGATGTCGAGGCATCGCGAAGTGCTCTCGGACGTCACCGAACGGCGCGGCGTCTGTGACGTGGCTAACGCCGAATTCGTCTTTGACGTGACACTCTCGCCGGTTTCGTGGTCTTCCGTGATCAATTAAGATCCTTAGTATTTCACAGCTGTCCCTCCACGATCGTCAGGAGTCATCGAGGGAATCGAGGGATGCATCGATCGATCGGTCGATCGATCGATCGGAAACGATCAGGGAGCTCTCGATGAAAGTGAATCATGTTCGACAATGCTGAGTGAGTTCGCGCAATTTTTTTTCTCCCTCCCCGCACTCGAATGAGATCGGAGAAAGAAAAATAATTAACCTGAGAGGTGATGGAGATTAGAGGGCAGATCGTGCCCCTGTGATATCTTGTCACAGCTCGTGCCTCATCCCAAACGCAATAATGAGCGACTATCGCGCCGCGAATGAGAAACTTATCGTGATTAGGTACGAGTCGATATGATTGAGGGGAGTCGAATGAGCGCGGCACTTTGATTGGTCATCAACCTCTACGAACCTGGAACATCGCACGAACCGGCAATGTGATACACAGAGAGAGGCCTTGAGAGGTGGAATGTTTTGAAAAACGATCCTCTCTTCTTATGAAATAGCCTACCTGCCCTATCACCATGGGGAACCCTCAGCCAAAGTCGTCGGCAGGGTCGACCGTGCCACGAGCGGAGCGAGGAATTCCGCAGAGTTAATTGACGAATAAGGGAAGAATCAATCGCAAAGTAGATTGCTGAGCCTAGGACAGTTTCCCGGGAGTCTAATTCACACCGATCCGAGCTCCTCCGGGTTCCGCAACGTTGCCGGAACCTCCGCGAAACTTCCGTCCAGACGTTCAGATCGGTCGAAATGTTCTCGATTCGATCGGACGGTGAAGTCCTCAAATTCAGGGAATAGCGACCTGATAATATCAATGCTCGCTCGTAGTTTTCCATCTCGACAAGGCGTATAGCAACGCTCTTATTCATGATGATGCCGGAAGTGTTCTATTATTCCTGGAGTGTAACAACAAGTGGCTTCTCATCCTACTCGGGATGCACTCTCGAATACGAAAGACCTTTTTCGGGACAAGCGACACGAAGGGACTCCGGAAGGTCGATGTACCCGACTCATTCCATGATTCGAGGATTTCTCGAAAGGCTTTCATGGAAGTCGCGGACGCTCCGGGGGTCGTTCGGGACATCGAGATGAATGCGGCGTATGCCGACAATCGAAAGGCGGAGTGCCGGCGATGCGGCTCATGGGGACCGCTGTTTTCATCTCGTGAATACTTGTGAAGGACACGTCAATCTCGAAACGATCACCATCCAGTTCGAGCCTGATCTCTGGCGTCAGCGACGTTCTGGGCTCGATTCTACTAGTGCACGGCTTGGTTCGCTTCAAACGGTCTCCCGTAGCTCGAGAGTCCGACGCTACAACTGTTGTTCCGGTGTAATCAACGCTGTGTTGAGAAGAACACGAAAGAAAGCCGACAATTGCAAAGCTCAACGGATATGACAGAGACGATACGCCACATTGACGTTAAGATGATTTATTGTTCCTGTCTATCCTAGACTATCCAAAGAGAACTCGGACATTGGTGTAGGTCTGCAGCTGGCTGAGATCGTGCAATGTGTAACTCGATAGCGTGTGGGGTGACTGGCTGCTGCTCGGTGTCGTCCACGTGCCTCTCCGCAGCTTGACAGCATGTGCAAAAGGGCCGCATCGAGGACAAACGTCGGAGGAAGAAAACGTAGCTCGTTCCGACAGTGTTCCGGAACGATTGGCGGCCCAAGAGGAAGAAATAGAGAGAGATGCCTACGCCAGTGACGAGAACCATTCTGAGTGAGTATATCCGACCACGCACGGACTCAATCGGTGACTTCACTCGGACAACGGTAACTCGTGAGAAGAATGCCAGCCAAGGACTTCTATGCCGGCTTCCGTTCGTTTCGGTAACAACGAGCATTGATTGAAGAGGTGATCGCCGTGTTTGACATGGTACCGACCTCATGGGGGAAAATATTTCGGGAACGGGGCTCTTGGCAACTATGGCCAGCCCTCAATTCTTGAGCAGGGCGCTTTCTACAGTCTGAGTGCTTGCGGTCAGAGCCTAATCCTTTCGTTTCGTTGTGGCCGATGTCCAGTTGACATCAAGGAGTTATCGGACTCCTCGAGACGACGGTTGGGAGCGTGAATGTATCAAAGTTCGAAAGGATCTATGAGGGTGGAAAACATAAGGAAAGCGTTCTCTGAGCAAATCGGTCGGAGGTCGAGAAGAGCAAAGGAGCTTCCTTCCTACCCTCGATCCACTGGGATTTCCCCGGTCCATTCCGTGACATCAGGACTTCTCTCGTGGAGATACAAGACTCTCTAGAGACAGGGACCGCGCGGGGATATTCTCGCTTTCCGGGCGACTTGCGAATCTTCTGACCATTATCGGCATCAGACCGGACTTCTACGATGCGATGTATGGAATGAATTCTCTGGATACGCCGTTCGATGAGACGGAACACGGAACTCCGACTCGATCTCTTTTTTCGCCACTCATGCCGGACCGATCGATGTTTCTAGACAATCGACGGAATGATTCTCGAGCTATACGAAATATAGTTATCGGCAGAGTAGTTCACGCAATCCCTCGGTCGAGGAGTCGAGGGACGATAGCCTCTTCCGCGCCCAGTGTTCGCCAACTCTGAGCAGGCAAAGATCACAGGCACCAGCCGATGTTTTTCTAAACAAAGAACGCACGTGAAGCTCCCTCCACGAGTGCAGCGCGGAAAAGAGTCGTCGGAGTCCCTTTGCCTGATATCCCCTCGTACGAATAGCGGTCCCGTCCACTGCGTTGGCGTGATTATAGCCATTGGGCGAACCCAAGGTATCCTAAGATCCGACACAATGATGAGATTAGCGATAGAGAATTCGCGACCAATCTGTTTCTCCGGAGATTCCCAGGGGAAAAATCCTCCGACTACTCCAAGGAATATCCTGTTCGGGTACCATCAGTGGATGGGAATTCGCAACGGCTCCTATTCCTGATCTGACGGTCATGTCGTTCCTTCGCAGATGGTGGTCTTCAGTTGTGATGCTTGTGGGGAATCACTCCGGAAGAAAGACGTCCAGAAACACTATCAATTCAATTGCCGTCGCTGCGAAAGCCTCACGTGTGTAGATTGTAAGAAACAGTTCTGGGGCGATGAATATAACGCTCACACGCAATGCGTAACGGACGAAGACTTCAAATACGGGCTCGTGGGCGAGCACAAGTGCGATAAGGGTGCGTTTTCGGTTCCTAGTATGTTGAATATTGTGCAGCCTTGCATGCACAGCCGCGAACTCAATTAACTTTTCACTCACTCGCAGGACAAAAAAAACAGGACTTGTGGATTTCGAACATAGACGACCTGCTCGCGGACCGCGGCACTGATAAACGATTTACGCCCGTTTTCATCGAAATGCGGAAATTCGAGAACGTCCCCCGTAAGAAGAAACCGTTTCTGAACTGGAGCAAGTGCACGATGAAGCGATTTCCTTACAAAGTTGTAGAGGAGGCTTTCGATTTATTGGTGAGCTTCAGTATGATCGATTCCAGTTGATGCGTTCAAGGGTCCATCATCCATGGCGGAAGAGGCATCGGGAGATTCTCCTGCTCGGCCACTCACTTCCGATGGATTCGCTCCGTGATATTTTTTTTCACACGTGCTCTTCGTAGAGATTGTACTTCACCTGTACGCGTTTTATTTCCAGCTGGAGAGCCACGCGAAGAAATTAAAGGCTCTTAACGACGCTCCTAATGGAAACAATTCGAAGGGTGGCAAGGATTCTACCACGCCTCTGGCCGCTGAAAACGGTAAATCATCCGCGAGGGGCGATGAAGAGACCAATGTGACCTCGAAAGCGAAGAAGAAGCGCATGGCTTCGGAGAATGAAGAAGATGTAGATGAGCCGCGGCCAAAGAAGAAGAAGAAGAAACTCGAGGTAAATAAGAACCCAACTATACAAGCCCTGACTTTAGTACCTCTGACTGAGGAATCGGACGTATCCCTTCTAATCATCGGAACAATGAGCCTTGCATCGGAAAGTCTTGCATGCGGAGCTCCCTTCCGGGCGACATACCTGATTCATACAATCGACCCCGGAGTCGCAAATCATTTGAAATTATCGGCAGCAAATTGGAAACAAATGAAAGGACATCATCTTCTTCTTCTTCTTAGAAGGAAACATCTGAAGAGTTGCAACAAGACACGGTGATCTCAGAAGGAGCCGTCGAGAAGAGAAATAAGAAGTTCAAGCTTGAAAAAAGCGTCGCGAGAGTTCTCCTGGAGAAAAACGGCGCAATCAAAATGAAGAAACTCATCAGAAAGGTTCGGGAACCTCTTAGATGTCAGCATCAGCTGCGTAACCATATTTTCTGCGGACTAGTTTTACATTCTTCCTTCCAACGATCTCATCGACTATCAGGCTATTGGACGGGATCCCTAGATATCCCATAAAAAGAGAATCATTAACGCTCCAGGTGACAGCTCTGTACACAGAGTATTGCGAAGAGAACGGGCATTCGAAGGCTTGGGACGTCGATGAAATCTCGAGCAGAGTCGAGAAACTCCTCTCGAAGAACGAGTGTTTCCAGAGCACCGACGGATGTGTACAGCTAACAGAGAGTGGCATCGCCAAGTTCTCTGCAGGGAGAGTCGCGCCGAGCGCCTAGATGTCGCTCAATGATGATTACGTTTGTGTAAAAATAGATAGGTTCGCTTAGGATGCTCCGTTGTATAAATAATTTACCTGGACGGGAGCATATAATCTTGACGATAGGTATCTTTCGAACTGGAAACCGATGATTCGAATACTCCGTGTTGGGTATGAATAAAAAGTGGAGAGCACGTTTTTGTGTTTAGATGAGGTGGCTCTTTTTCACCGGCTCAGCTCGCATTCGATCTACGGGTCTCCTGTGGAAGAGTCAAGCGCCTCTTGGCTAGTTCGACGTGGATTCTTGATAGGAATGCGATCGAGAGGACGCTGCATTATTATCAAATGATTGCGCGACGTAGACTCCCAAGAGGAGAAGCTCCTACGAGACCTTACCGCCGACGGAGCCGTGTTGTCGACTCGAGCGCCGATTGCCGGGAATAGATCTCGCCGTCGAAGCCCCGCCATGAATACGAGTCGGCCTCTGAACTTCGCCCCGCCCATTTCAAGGGGTCGGAGTCCCCTCCGCGGAAGCGTAAACATTTCCATTCATCTCGCTGTCTCGGATTCTCCTCGGCTCTCACCGTCGACACGGTCCTTTGACTAGATTGTCGAAGTGAGCCATTATGCAGGCGCCCGAAAGGCTGCCGGAACCAAATGACGTAATGACAATGAACGCGACGTCGCGCTGCTGAGCTTGAATAGTCGAAAGTCTCTTTTGCGAGCCCGTGAAGCGTGAGTTCAGGGCATGTCTGCGAACACAAACCAATCAGGATCTTGATCCCATCTCGCTAATCCCATGGCTTGCAAGTAGACGATCCTTATCTCATGGTCATTGACAGCAGGAAGAACGATTCGGGGCGAGCCCCATGATACGGTCGTCGTGGATGAGGAGATGACCGCTTATCAGCTCCATTGGATTTTATCGATGACCCGAGCAGGACTATCACGTGTGCTTTCTCTCTTTCGTCGGAACACGGGAGTCAAGTGATTTTCCGGCTGGATCGCTCGGCTGAACAGATTTCTGAGAAGTTCCCGACGATGATTCCTCGACTGCCAGCCGGCCGACCGACCGCTCGAACGGAATCGTCTTCGCCTGAAATCTTTCTAGGTTGTTCGGTGGCTTGAGAGATGAAGGGCTCAAGTCTTTTCGAGTTCCAGCGGGAATCTCAGCTCAAAGATAATCGAAACCGCAGACAGTCCGTGATCCGCGGAGATGCGTTCGTCGATATCGATGCATTTACAATAGATAGTGATTGTCCCTTTTCGCAGGTGAGTTGCCGAGTATTTGATAATCGCACTCAAACATCGTCGCCTTCTTCGGGATTCCGCCAGACAACCGGTCGACATCATGAGCGAAACGTTCCACGGGAGATCCAAGGGAGTCGCAGCGGCAGGTGAGTCAATTTTCCCTCTTATGCTCTCTGGCGGTGATTCCTGTCGGATCCGACGCCCTAAATGGATTCCCCCCCGCCCCCTTCGCGACGGCTCATCACAAAGCTTTTCATTCCGATAAGGTGTTCCCGACCAGTATGCGGATGGAAAAGCCGCCAAGTTGTGGGAAGTTTACATCGGTGAGAAAAATGATCGAACCAAACATTACAAAGACTTCCTGACCGGTAAACTTCGGCATTTCGGCATAAATTTCGTCCTCGACGTCGCGTGTGGTACTGGGTGAGTTTCATCCCGAACTTCGTTAAACGGGCGACACGAGAAATGATATCGATGCGCATCTATTGGGAAATCCCGCGAAGAGTTTCCACTTCGATATTTACGATACTCGCCGCCAGAATCGACTCCATTATGCTCCTGGAGGAGGGCTTCCGCGTCATGTCGACGGATGCGTCCGATAGAATGCTGAAGTACGCTCTCAAGGCTCGCTGGAATCGAAGAAAAGAAATTGCTTTCGATTCTTGGGTGATCGAAGAAGCTAATTGGCTAACTATCCCAGACGACATTGTTAAGCCAGGAGAAGGTGCATATCTTCACAGAAGTCGTCTCATCAATCATTTTAAAATCATGTCTGAAACAGAAATCGTACGAGTCCCAGTGATCCTCTAGGTTTCGACGCTGTGATGTGCCTTGGGAATTCTTTCTCCCACCTACCAGATGTGCAGAAAAACGGACAAACTCATGTGAAAGCAATACAAAACTTCTGGGAAATGATCAAACCCGGGGGCTTTCTAGTCATCGACCACAGGAACTACGATTACATTCTCGACCACGGCGAGACCCCTGCAAAATCCGTTTACTACAACGTGCGTGTTCGAAGATCTGATTCCGCATCTGAAATACGATGTATTCGCTCCTTTCTAGTCCACGCGAATATTGATGCGAGATTGAAGCTTTTCCCTCTTCCCTCACTTCGCAGTCGAAACACATCAAGTCCATCGACACAGGTGTACTCTTCCTGAACAACAGGCCACACCAAGTCACTCTCGATTACCACATGGACGTTTCTCAGCTACGAGAGAAATTTGATCTGACCACTGACACCGAGTTTACGAAGAAGGTGCGTCCCGATTGTCCTAATGAGATCGAACAGCAGAAGTGGAGAGGCTGCTCGTTCCGTTCCCCACTAATGAGTTTTGCTCTCGTATTCATCCAGGGCCGCTACGACGGCGAGTTAAGCTCCTTCTTCCGATTGTCCTACTTCCCCCATCGATTGAAGGATTTCAACGCGATGCTTACCGAGGTCTTCGGGAAAAACGCTAAACACGAGATCTTTGGAGACTTTCAACCTCTGGGAGAAAACAAGGACCCCGCCTTCTACGTACATTTCATTCAAAAAACCCTTTGATACATGCTGTATATAGAAGTTCACGCATCATCCAACCCTGAATGAAAAGCTCATGACAACCTCTGAACGCCTCGTGAGATTAGTAAAGGAAGCATGTTCCAATATTTTCCGGAAAGCGTCCTTCGATGGTGAATAATGGATTGGGAGAGCGATGGATTCGTTCAGAGATCCGAAACTGTCGACTTCCAAAGGTCAGCTCCATCGACAGGATTCCCCCAGGATTCTTCTCGCACAGCGGCACGAAACTTGCATATCTTCGACGCATCACGACTCCAAAAATATTCTGAAAATTGCAGATAATAATCCGATGATCCTCTGGAGTGAATGTATGGGTAGTACGTATGGGACGCGATTCCACCTCAGATAAGCCCAGAAGGTAAAATGAGCGTCTCCTTCTCCTATCTTCGATTGCGCCGCCAGGAATCCGCGGGAAGATGTTGGATGGATGGATGGATGGATGGATGGATGGATGGATGGATGGATGGATGGATGGATGGATGGATGGATGGATGGATGGATGGATGGATGGATGGATGGATGGATGGTTTATTGACCCTCTCTGATTATATCTCAGTCTCAATATATATCAGAAGACCCTGGTTCAGGGGCGATGTCTCCAGCAGGTCGATTCATGTGATATCCTTCTTCGGTTCGGGTGGTAGTCCTCCTCCGTTCCCATTCCTCTAGTAGCACTTTAGTCCTCGTGATCATCCTCGGCGTGCTGTCTTCATGTAGCCCTAGTTGTCTTTGCACGATATACTCGGCTTCCGGCGGGCTGTCACATTCCAATATCACATGTTCCAGAGTTTCCTCGGCCTTGCCACATCTTTGGCAGGTTGGATCGATGTTCTTAAAGCGTGACCGATATCTCCTGGTCTGCAAGCATCCTGCTCTCGCATTCGCAAGGAGGCGACTGTTGCGCATCCCGAATCTCTGTCGTGAGGCCTGGGTCAAGAACAGGTCTCTGTCGTCATTTGTAGGATTTGGTAAGCATCCGCGGCCCTGTATGTTCCACTTTACTGCCCAGAGGGACGGCATGAACCCCGAAGAAAACTCGACAGCTGGGTCTTAGACAAGGAAACTTCTCCCGAGCCCGCTCGAGCTCTGCGTTGGACAATGAAGAAACAGTTTTCGACGGACTCTCCGAAGCACCACCCGCCTTCAGCGGGGTACATTTATTCTAAGATGGCCTAACTCTCGCCTTCCCACTCGCTCTCGTCATCCATTTTCATCCGCCTAACTACATACCTCCCATCATACTATACATGCGCTTATGAAAACTACGAGCTGATACACTTCTCGTCGAACTCGATATAAAAATCTATAGAAGCCCGCGAATTCTTCGGAACAACAGAGTAATTCATTTCTTCAGTCGATCAGATTTCCTTCTCGGAGGCCTTTCGGGTTCCGTTTGTTTTTTGGAGGTGTTTTCCAAAAGACTCAGATGACCGAGCGTCCAATAGGCCGAATTCTTACAAATCAAAATCCCGAGAGCGATGCTCAACAGAAGCACGGTCATCTCGACAATGGTGAAAAGGAGCTTCGTCGCGAAAACAGCCCACAGCATGAGATGCTGACGTAGAATGAAACACGCCACACATTGATGCGTCAATCTTGTGACCAGAATAGCTATCAGAGAACTCCTAGAAATATGTTTCCTCATCACCGCGGGTAGAAGAAATCCTGTGAGAATCTGTCCGCTGAAAGTGTTCAAGACCACCCGGATACCAGGTACAACGAGACTGGATCCGGCCGCGCCGACGAATCCAGCTTTCCATTGAATTTGTTGGAATGTGTTCTGATGGCCCGTCGCGAAGAAGGTGTTCGTCATGAGGGCCGCGACCAGCGCGCCCTCCAACTCTTCGGGAACGGCCCGCGTCAGGAACATGAGCAGGAGACATACCGCGTGCACGAACAGGGACGGAACGTGCCGCGGCGTTGTGTACACGCTCAGCAGGAGCCATAGGCCGAGAGTGTGGAGGATCACATAATTCAAATGCAGGATCACCCGATCTTTCGCGAATTTCCGATGCAGGACCAGTAATACTTGGAAGAATATCGAGCAGACGGCGCTGACGTTCGGCAGGACGTGGATATAGGTCGCTAACGCATGGATTTTCTTCGGATCCTGAGTCTGCAGGAACCAATACGACAACAGCGTCAGTGCGGCTATGTACAGCGCGGAGAGGATCGCGGGAGCGCTGGCCGAGAGGGAAAACGATTTCCCGAAGGTTTGGCTCACGTGATGGCGCGCGAAAGCCACAGACGCGATCACTGACGCCGCGGCCAAAACGAACCACACGCCGCCGGGTTGATCTTCGGTGACTTTGCATCCCTGTTCATGACGGCACACGGAACCCAGAGGTGATAGGACCCGCAGCAGGATCATGAGTCCCACGATGAATAATCGTTTCCATAGGTTTCGATTCGCCGCCAAGATCATGAGCAGAATACCCTGCAGCATGAACAAACTCGCCAGGTCCTCATTGATTATGAAACTATTCGAGAAGTGCCCCAAGCAGACAACAGCCGTCTCAATGACCACGACCCAGCAATAGAGCGAACGTTCCCGACTGTTTTCAGTGGAGCTGAGTTCGACGTCCTTCATTGCGCCCAGCGTGGCTATTAGAGAAGCGACGGTCAAATGTACAACTCCCAGACCCATATAAGGTATATTGAACACTGTGAAGGCACTCCGGGCGACGCTTTGAACTTTCGACAAATAGTCTGTGGCAGCTCGATATAGGGCTCTGGCGCTTAACGTATCATTGAAGTTCACTGCGAGCACATCCCATAGTCGATTCAATTGATTTACTTTGAGCGGAATCAACTTGAGCAGATGTGAAGACGTGTTCACGTAACGCTGGACCTGCTGAGCGTTTATCCACAGCGGTACGAGTTCCCGACCATCTAGGGGTCGGGAGAGGAAAAGAGGTTCTATGAGCATGCCCAAGCTCGAAAACGGAATAGGGATGCCCATCAGCAACGATAGCGAGGGCACTATATCGATTTGGGACACTTTGGGATCGTCCGTGATATCGTAGTACTTCACGAGGCTGTCCGTCCCCGGAGCGAACATGAAGAGCGCCGAGGTCTTCTCCTCGTCGGTGTCGCCTCCGTGATCTCCTGAGAGGGTCATTCCGTGGTCTCCGAACACAACCAGTAGATCCCCCGTTCGGAGTTGACGACTCACATTGGCGACAACTTCGTTCATCTGTGATAACTTGGAGCCCATCTCCGGATGATCCTGGTGGTACCAATGTCCACAGTGATCCACTCCAAGAAAGTGGGCGATTAGTACATCGGCATCATCTGTCGCGAGTTCCTCGTAGATGTGCGAGAGGACACCTGAAAGGTTTTGTAAAGGGGACGTCAGTCTCACGGTCCTCGAGCCGCTCGGGGAACTCGGGAGCACATCATGGACTTGCGAGATTCTCGCCCGCTCACTCGTCTAGAACTAACCGTCGTCGACCGTGTGAAGATCGTGAACAACGAAAGAGGGGTACGGGTAGCTCCTCTTGAAGGAATCCGGCAGGAGACTCATCCACGTATCGTCACCCATGAACACAACACTGAGATTATTAAGTTTCATTTGTCTGACGAGATTATCTTCGTTCACCGATGTCTGATAGAAATTCGTGGCTGCGTCAATGAATGTCGGCATACTGCCGGTCAGCAGCGCCGTCAGCCGCTGCAGGGTCGTCGTCGGTGAATCGGCGACGAAACGCGCGTGAAACGTCTGTCGTGGGAAGTGAGAGCGAAGCTTTTCGAAGATTGGCATTCGGTTCGCCCAATAAGCGGTTGAGTCTTCTTGGTACACAGTAAAGTCATATTTGAGCGCATCAATCACGAGAACTACGACACGATCGTAACGCCGGTTGCTCCAGCAGGGCAGCCCGTGCGATTCAATTTGATGGAACTCATGGAGATCATTACAAGTCGAGGTTTTCTGGGAGAGATTGCGGTGCAGGAAAAATCCTCGGCAAAATAGGTAGGCTCCGATGAAAACCAGGAACAAAGTCGAACCGTGGCGGAAATTCGCAACCATTTTCGCGGGAAGCGCTCAGAACGTCGTAAAGAATGCTGTGGGTTCTATTTCTTGCGGTGCGGCGTTCGAGACATGACCGTCTCCCGTAAACGCGATCTGAGGACGATCACTCAACGCTACCGGTCTCGGAAAGCCAGTGCGCGCATTCGAATCTTAACCGTTTCCATGCGGTGTCCGCCCGGAACCGAGTGCTCCTTGTTGTTCTTCTCCAACATTCGCAATCCGCTCGCACGGATGATTCGTCGCACGTCGCTTTTCGTACGGAAGCACGATAAAGCAAAAAGTCCGTGCGAAGATCACAGCAGTTCAAACATGACACTTGACAAATGAAATGGAATCTGCCTGTATATACACACGGGGGACACGATTACAATGATATGATGATCGTGATGATGATGATGATCTTTGCCTCACCCCTGAACCGATTCGGGCGGTCCCTCTGCACCCTCTCCGTTAGACGCTGACGTATTGCTCCAGGTGGGTTCCGTGATTCCACGATGGATGCTGCTCGAGATCCTCGGGATCGTGGGATCGCTGTCAGCTGCAGTCGGAGCCATAACCAGCAACTCCAGGATCTTTCCCAGGATCCATCGAGGGAACGTGAGCTACGATATTCTTTGTCGAGAATCGAGCTGTGTCTGGGACTTGTCGGGCTCTCTCGATGGACATCTTAATCAGCTGAGAGTTCCTGAGAGGGAGGCGTTCCAAATCGAAGCGAGTGACAGCTATCACTCGCTGGAACGATGTCGTTGCTGTGATGAATGTGTGTCTCGGTCGGAGTGCGCGCGTTCGAAGTATCGTGAGATGACCACTGTGCCCTGCTGACAAATTGGATCGTGCTTTCAAGCTGATATAGGACGAGGAGAGTTTCATGAGGTTTCGCGCGTTCGGACTTACATAGCGCATGGAGGACGCCGAAAAAATAATTCTAGAGCACCTGAAACAGGTGGGCTGCTCAATTGAAGTCGAAAGTCTGAAGGATCTCGACGCCGAGACGACGTTGGACGCCGTGGTGAAATGCCTCAAAGCAATTATTCCGGACTTCGCGGCTCCGAGTTCCGTACCGCACAATATGGTAGCAAAATATAATTTAGGCATGAAGCTTGCCGACGCCATAGTATCGCTGGGCTTCAAAGGAGAACTCGGCTACCAGTCGTTTATGTACAGCAACGAGGTCGAGCTGCGTCGAGTCTTCACTTTCCTCATCGAGAAAATTCCCAAAGAAGAGAAGGTTTCTCCAGTACAGGCGAAAGGATTCTCGTTTAAATCCACCTTCGCAGCGGCGGTGCGCTCTGAAATCGAGAAGCCTTGGCTGCCCACCTATGCGCGGGACGAATCGATCGGGCGTCCTGTCAAGACCCTGAGTTTCCGGGAAGACCTGAGTCGGATCGAAGACCCGCACACATTGATGGCGAGTATCCTGAACGAGAATGCGGCGTTGAGAGCCAAGGTCTCCTTGTCGAACGATGCGGAATTCGTCAAGCTCATCAGGATCATCCAAGAGAAGAAAGCCTCGCTCCAGAAGGAGTCGTCCATGCCCGAAGATGTTCAAGACCAGGCGACGATAGAACAGGAGGAGCCGGAGGCGGTCGAAGTCCGACCGGACGAGCTCGCCGTTCTAGAAGAGCGAAACGTGCAGTTGGGCGAGGAAATGGAAGTTATCGATGCCGAACTCGAGAGGGTCACGAACGAAATGATAAACGTCCAGGTTGCCTTGGATGAAATGGTTTCGATTCTCGCACAGGAACGACAGACGAATAAAATTAAACTAAAAGCACACGATCTGATCGGGGAACACGGGATCGAGGGTGCTTTAAAATTCTGTACAGATTATCTCGAGTCGCTAGAGTCGAAATCGATGAAGTTAGCCGTCGAATGGGAAGAGCACCGAGCGCCACTGGTCGAGACGCTGCGGAAACTTCGGATGGACAACTCGGCCAAGGGGAATCAGCAGAGAAGCAAACGAGAGAGAATGGAGAGGCTCCAACGCGACAAGCAGAGAATGGTCCAGGAGTATTCCCTCAAGCGAGAACTAGTCAAACAATTGCAAGCGGAATGGGAGAAAATGGGCTCCAAGGAATCGAACGTCACTCAACGATCCTCGTACCTGACCCGAATCCAAGAGATCGTCTGCAGTGTCACCCGACAGAAAGAAGAAATCGAAAAAATTCTCATCGAGAACCGGAAGAAGCAGCGGGAGATGAACTTGCTAGCGGACAGGTCGGAGCGTTCTTTCGCCGCAGCGGAACTTTTCTTCGCCAAGCAATCCGCTAAATCGGAAGACGCGAAAAAAATGCATCGAAATGTCGGGGAGATCCACAAGGACTGCAAGACGATTTTCGAGGCCGTCGACGGCAATGGGACGCTGCAGAGGGAGATTCGTGATTTGGAAGAACGTATCGACAAAGAGCGCCAGTCGAAGGTCGAGCAGAACCTCGAGAGAATTACCGCGGATTTCAACCAAATGAAAATGGAGAACGACGCCATCGAGACGGAGCTCACCAAGAAAGGAGTAGTACTCGGCAACGTTTAAAGTGTGCTAGTATCTGAATAAACACCTGCAATTAAACGAATTATTGCTTTGAACAGAGATACTACCGACGGCTTTTAATTCTCCCAACAGGTCTCTCAGGTACAGTTTCCTGGAGCTTTCCTTGCGCGCAGCCGAGAATAGTTCCCGGTCTCAGGTGCCTTAAAAGACGCGAATGCCTCCAGGTCAGGTTCGAGCTCTCGCGTTTCTCAGCGAGGAAGCATCAATTTTCGAATTCCGTTTCAGGGACTCTCCTGCCCGCCTCCTTCACATCGACTTCGCCACTCGTGCGTATTCGCCGCGGGTTCGGCTCGAACTTCTCATGGAAGTGATCGAAAGAACTTATCATAAGGCTCTGCGCGCTGACGTTGCCGCTGATATCCTAACTCCTGGCAAGTTGATAATTCTGCACTCATGGACTACTTCCGTCGTGGCTCAGGTGGTGGCCGTAACCCTGATGTTGTCGGCTGCAGCAAGGCATCGAGCCAGTCAAAGAAATCGCGCCGCAATCTCGAGCGTTGTAAAAACACGTCTGACCTTGAATTTCACCCAGAGTCGTCGCGCGCGGCGAAGGGACAGAAAGGCGTCTGCGATCGACTCAGACGGAGGTGGTCGAATATCACCGCTTGATCATGAATTGCCGGGATACTCCGGAACTGCTCTCTTCCCAAACAAGCATCAAGATCAGCGGTCTCACTCCGGAATGAAGTGCACTCGATATCCGGGGTAGATCTTCGGGCTCCATCTGGAGCTATCGGGTGCCAATGACGCGAACTCGACAATGGCTTTGAGGAGATCCTCAGCTGGCGTCGCGCTTCGGCGAATCGAGACACCATGATGGGGCCGATTTAGCCGGGAGCACGCTCCTTATTTTTGAGTAGAAAGGCAACTCAGAACGCTTGACAGAAGAAGGTACGCCTCACTCGAGCTTCGTTTCTTGGAATGGATTCATAGTTCGAGGCGAATTCAAGGCTATGGAAAGCAGTCACACGGAGACTCCCATAAACTCGTAAAAAACTCGAGATCATAAAAAATCAGATCTCGAACAGGTTCGATGGAAGTATGAAGCCTTACAGAGGAACATCTGCCTTAAATGCTGACTTCCTGTTCAACCATCACAATCATATAAAAGTAGTCGATCGATTCGCTTCTTGAGCCGAGTCGGAATCTCGAAACTCGCAACTTGGTTATCTTGTGGCAGCCCGCTAGTCCCCAGAGCCTGTCGCGCGGACGGATTCCAGAAAGGACTCTTCCTCGGGATCTTGGAGTTTCGCCATGTCTCAACAGTACAACAGCATCACATCATTGTACATGAAGCGCCGCCTCAGCAGCAAGCATGTTTTGGAGAAGAAGACGGTCAAATCTATCGTGGGTCCGTACATCAAGGGCGCAAAAGTCCTTGAACTTGCGTGTGGCTTTGGATTCTATACCTACGACCTCGTAGACTGGGGCGCTGACTCCATTGTTGGAGTCGACGTATCGTCAGGTATGTTGGAGGCATCCCGCTGTCTTGCGATATCCCATGGACGACAAATTTCGAAAGTTCAACTCGAGCTGGGCAACGTGTTCGAGCCGACAGCTTATCCCAATGGACCCTTTGACATCGTGTTCGGTGGCTGGATGCTCAATTACGCACCTGATCTAGAGACCTTGACCCAGACCTTCCGAAATATCAATCTGAACCTCAGGCCAGGTGGTTTGTTCGTTGGCATCACGTGTCCGCCAGCGAAAGACCCCGAATCCTGGTTCTCTGCCGGTGACATGTCCCTCGGTGAACCGTCGCTGATCGCGCAGCTCGTCGAGAGAGTTGACGACGGGATCAAGCTTCGGATCAAGCTGCGAAATGACGGGGACGATGGCTTCGAATGCTACTACCTCAGGCAGGATGTTCATGAGGTTGCCGCAAAAGCAGCCGGGCTGTCAGGTCAGATCCAATGGAAGACGACGAAAGAACTGAATCACCATGATCTCGTGGACGACGGCTCTCCGGAGCGCAAGCGATTCATCGAGGAAATGGCGGAGAATTGGTTCTCAGCCGTGGTGATTTCCGAACGACCAATGAAGTGAGAACGGGGAGGTTTCCGTTTCCAAAAGCGGAACTATCGCACAAGCCCGCGATGCGCACTCATCCGCGGCAGAGCCGGCGATGTGCGGGATTCTTTTGCTGCAACGTCAATAAAGTAGTCGACATATATGATGCTATCTGATCTCTGGAGACAGTCGAAAGTGATCCCCATTCCATCATTCTTGAAGGCCTCTGGGGAATATATGAAACCTTCGAGTGAAGAGCAAGCGATATGCAGAATTCCGATTTTATTTATACTTTCCATCATTTTTCACCTAAACAAGTTCGGCTTGGAAGCCAATCATGTCCGAAACGTATTGAATCGCAACCAAAAAACTTCATGTTTCTTCGATAAAGGAAAACTTGAACTCAAAACGGATCAATTCCACGGTAACTTAAAAGTTCTCGGGGTCGCCCCGTGATTCTTTTCTACATTTATATATGTACAATCGAACAAGGTCATTCAACGACCGCTTTCACTCCTCCCTTTCATACATATGTAAAGTATGTATAAGAAATTTTTGTAATGGTACGTCGGATCCTTGGGGTTGGTCTTGAAGATGCCTCACAGATTCCAGAGCATCGCCGAGAGCACAGTTCCGATACACGCTTCCCAGCACTCTCGTCTTTGCATCGCTCCCAGACATGGTGAGGGAAATGTCTCGATTGTTGTCCATCGAGATTCAGCGGAAGAATAAGCGACCTTACATCTCCGACCAAAAGGTTGCACGGAATTCGAAGAATCATATCCTTCGAAAGAAGAGTAATTTTCGTCTCGGATCAGGACATGCCGCAACATGTTCCCGCGAGGCAAATCCCACAAATCTACGCCGATAGAGGGCGGAGAAAAGTTATTTTTGTACAGAATGTGAAACACTTCGTATACCTAATATTGCTTTTCTTCCTGTTTTAAATAGGTTTCCACCATAGATATTTTCCAAGCGTAACATGACAAGTTCGAATATAAGTCGGATGGAACGTCGCTTCCGTCGTTCGACGTCGTTCTGTAACAAGAGGCTCCCCCTCCCTGTGACCATAAGCGGATTCAACACATTAGTCCGAGATTTTTTCTCACAGATTCATTCAACACAATGGATTCCTGGAGATCGAGAATCCACGGTCGGAGGCCTAGCCCATCGGAGTCCCGCCCCAAGAGCTCCATTGCTGGTTCTGGGAGGGAAAAAAAACGTCACGAGGTTAGAGAACCGCCGAGCCTGACCCAATCGTTTCCGAAATCTCGATATTCCAGTACGACCCACCTGGTCGGGGTAGGAGGCAGGGGTGCAGGTCATGCAGCACGCATGATTGTTGAGTTTTTCTCTGAGGTGGAGGATTTCCGCGCGGAGCTCTTCGATTATCCGCTGCTGTTGCTGGTTTTCCACGCGAATCTGCAATTCGAGGATCTTTTTGGTCTCGTTCTCATCGTCCGCTGCGGAGCACTGGATAATATATCACCGAACTTACGCTCGCGTGGTCGCGAATCAGTTGACTCTGTTGATGCCGTTTCTTCTCGCGACATTTCGCTGCGGCGACTTTATTGCGCTCTCGCCGCCTCTTTTTCCGAACCTCATCTTCGTTTTCGCTTCCGACGCTCTGTGAAGGCGAGATGGGGAGCTCTGAGATTCCCGTCACCCGTATACCGCGGGCGATCGGTCATGAAAACGAGGCAGAATCGGAATGCTTACCGGTTCGGATCGGACTCGGACGCGACCTCTTGGGTTATCGTGACTAGTTCCAGGCTGGGGCTCGAAGCCGGATGAGGGATCGTAGTTCGAGCAGCTACTCGTTACGCTGTCGGTTCTTTGGCGGAATACCAAAAGCTCCTCCCGGGTCGGCTTAACATCGGCAGGGCTGCTTCCGTAGTAGGAATCGAAAGTTTGAATCTGCGGCGGTTGCTGAGGGTGCGGTGCTTGCACATGGTGCGTTTCTGATGGGTTAAAGTCATCTGCGAAGGTTCGGGGGGTCGACTAAGGATATTTCCAATCGAGGCCTCAGAAATCGGAATAGGGTCTCAGAACTCGATTTTCGAGCTTCATTTATCCCTAAGGATTCGAATAAAACTCACAGGGACTGGTAGTATGGCTGTTACGGTAGATCTCGTTCCAAGAAGGAAGCGTCTGAGCCGGATCCTGTTCGATGCCCTGCGCAGGGTTCTGAACGTGCGGCGAGTGAGACGCGGGCAGCAGCTGTACGTTCAGATCTTCGGGGTCTCCGAAGGAACTGCAACATAGAATGGCCGGTCATCGGTTGGTATAGTGGGGTCAGCGAACCGAAATCACTACCGCATCTTTCATGGGAGAGCCTCTCGACTCTCGAGGCTTATTGAATTCAATATCTGAGGACAACGACTCCTTAATACCCGGCGCGCGAGCGGATGCAAAAATTCGGACCTTGGCTAATAACCCCGACCGCGCTCCTGATGTGTTGTCTTAGCGAACACGGTCCCAGCAATTGCTCATGCATTTATCTCGTCGCCATGGATGGATTGCCTCGACGAATCTACCCAATCACAGTGTTAGAATATATAATTCTCAATCCCCGGCTCCCTTCTGTGCGTAGGAGCGGGCAGCGTTGAACCACTTTCGTAGTGGTAAGGAGATTCATTGCCCATATTCGACGAACTTTGTTCATGTTTCCGAATCGCTCCGGTCCTGTTCAAATCGCCCTGGCTCCCCGAGCTCCATGGGTCACAAAATCGATCTCGACAGTCGACAGAAATATTCCGTCTGAAATCTCCGAAAGAACGAGTGTTTCGACCCTTCTGAAATTCAATTTCCATTCGGAAATTCCGATGAGGTCCTCCAGAAATTGTCTCGACTTCATCATCACTCCATACACAGCTGACACTCGCCGAGAAAATCTCGATGCCAAGCGAAGACCTTGCGTGCTCCCCGCATCGAAGTTTCTGTTTTCTTTTCTCTCATCACACTTGTGAGTCTCGACGATGACTACGAAGTATAAATGAAAGGAATTCCTCACGCCTTTTAGGTTGTCAAAAAAATCACGGAGAAGAAAAAGCCACACGAAGAGACGAATTTCTCGTAGTTGACAGGTATCCCGCTGAGATTGGTCATGGGCGAGGCGTGTGAGCATAAGGTTCTGATCGTCTTTTGGATTCCCGTCGTCATTGTGGTCGTCGCTCATTGTCCTTCATGCGGTCGCTCTAACCGACGGCACGGAGCAAGGACTACATCAAGGTTATCGCAACAGACACCCGACATCCTTAGAAGGTTGAGCGCTTCACATTGACATTTTTGTCGAGCACCGGCCCATTTTCCGTCTCATGCCTAGAACAGATCCCGACTTTCTGTATCCATTAAGGCCGGAAAATCATGAAGGCAGGCTCGCCCACGAGATTCCTGATTGGTTCGAGATTCCATCTGAGAATCCACTTGCCGACGTCGGAACATGGGTGCATCGAATAAATAAATGTACGGCGCGGCGCATCAAAATTGCCCGTAATCGCCGATGGTACGATTATGGTTCTTTCATTGCTTTTTCTCGGAGAGGTCCCATCAATTACTCAGGAAATGGTCTATGGAGACCTCCAGAGAAAATTCCTCGGAGGAACGAGTCTCGAGCGAGTTGGATGAGATTCTCAGAGCGCAGACCACTGGTCGCATCTCGCTTATGAGTTTCACTTTCGATTCCGTCTTGTTAGCTCAACGATCGAGCCCGACCGGGAAGGAACTTTCAATTGAGCGTACATATATTTATCCGTAGATATGAAATAGATTTTCTGCCTTCGGAGACTCTCCGGGGTCAGAAGTCAGACGGGACCATTCATCACAATTTAGCTGTTAGCAATGAAAGCCGTTAAGCCTGGAATTGATTGTTACGCTCTTGTTGCCGAGCCGCAACAACACTCCTGGGAACGAAGTCTTGCGTCGTCCGCCGAAGGAACGGCTCCTACCCACGGTAAGCTCCAGACCACATTCAGTTGTGTGTTCCACGCGGAGATTGCTTGAACTAAGACAGAGCCCTTGAGAAGGGATGAAGTTGCTGGCTTGCTCTTTCTACACCCGAGACCGCGGACCGGAATAACCGAGAATTTCATCGATATAGATCTCTTTTTGAGCCTCTTCCACCGCAGAGCTCCTTTCGGGCGGACTTAAGCATCGGTACTGCTGCGAGGACGGACGGAACATGTAGGGACAGGATTTTAGAATTAGTCAGAGGAATCCTATTTCTAGCTCCAGTCGAGGGGCAAGTTCAAAGGTACCAGAGTCGAACTTCAAGCGGGGAGCAGCTGTCCCCGGGACATCTCCTCGTATCTCCCCGTATACCGATGCGAAATGCACATTTAGGTAGGAGGGCAAGCATGGGAGTGAGGCGTCGAATTCGTCGAATGAATCGGAGAAGAGAAGAAAGATTCTAAATCCTCGAAGTCGGAGTTGAGAGCTGCCCGAGTGGCCTCAATCATCGCCCTAATGGGCAGCTTGAGGGAAAAAATTGCGGAATCGTATAGGGGTGGAGCCGCGGAATCCGCGGATCAATTGATCGGCGATTCCAATCCGGAGATCAAATGATGTACTAGTTGCATACTGCCCTTGGTGTGTATCAGTCGATTCGTCCGAGAGCACTGCTCCAAACACTTTGGCACATCGCACACAATCATCACCGATGGCGCTGCTAGCTGACAGTCTCGACAAATGGATAACTCCGCGGTAACTAGTAGTAGTCACGTGATCATCTGGCTTCATGCCGTCACCGCTGCCGTTACTCCTGTTACTCCCACTAACTACACATGACGAGTACGATCACCGCGACGTCGACGTCTACGAGGATGATCGCTGGCGGAACACATACCACCTCGTCCGGGGCTCCATTTAACTCTGCATTGTAGGCCGTTGCGATCGACGTGGACGATTCTCAGAACCCCAGACTACAGATCTAGGACAGACACCATTCCGCGAGACGGATCAGACAGCGATGATGTCTTACTCTACGACTGTATTGTCGCCGCCGCCGGTGCCACCGCAGTCGCCGTCGTGCTGCATCCAGAACTAATTAACGTCGCTTGTAAGGGTGATTCCTGAGAATTCCGCCATTGAAAAAATTTGACCTTCGGTCAGAAGTACTTCATCACACGTCATCGGGGTGATTGACAAGATCAGGGATCGAGATCTCCCTGAGCGAGGAACCGATGTGGAGTCGGCGAAGATTCGGCTCGAAGAAATATCGAGGCTCCACTCGGGTTCCCGCGGATGGGACAAAGGAAGTCCCAGGAAAGCTGCGAGAATTCCTAAGCTGTCCGATTTCGATATCTCATCCCGGCGATCGATCACTTTGTCGATTTCGATAATCGGTTGTGATTAGTGATTAGGTAGCAGGAATACAAAACTTCCCGTGATTTCCGTTCCTCTGGAGCTTCATCCGGCCCGAATCTTACCGATCTCAGCACCTCCGCATCCTTTCCAACGCAATAACCGAAGGCCCAGTGATCTTCGGAGTCGTTCCGGCACGCTCCACAGAGACGAGATCCGTGAAGGACGATCGGTAATGGGCAGATCGATTGAAATCGAAAGCAAGTTCTGACGCTCGCTCTCACGCCGCGGTTCCTCTCGCGCTCTGTGGCCTTCACACTTGAGCGATCTGGGTCATCTAGCACATGTTACGTGGAAGCGCTTTCTATTAGCACTGACTGAGACAATATATCCCACCGTCCCTCGGTCGATCGGAATCACTGCACGCTTGACGAACTTGAATGCTTTCCGCAGAGCATCGACCGTGAGTCAATTACCGGATATGACGTCCCTTCCGGAAAAGGGGGAGCTAACCTCTCACTCAAGCTTTTCAATACTTCATCGGAAGGAATTTCCCGAGAGGATGCTTCGAGATCAGCGGTTCAGCAGAGCCCGAGATCGCTGCATGGGACCACACAACAAACGTAACGACGAGGTTGAACGATAAGGATCATCATGTGATCCGATCCGGACCCGCTATCGGGCGCCAAATGTTCTGACAATTTTGCTGGGAGGGGACGCTGCCAGCTAAAACAGAGGATAAGGTATGAAGGAAAGCATACAGACATTGCTGAAGTACCTCAGAACGCTCCCCGCCATCGAGTCGCCTGTATCGTCTCGAGCAAACAGTTTGTTGAGATGACAAGATTGACTGAGCAAACAGTCGATCGCCGGCTTCTCTACACGGCCAGCGCAGCGCCGATTCGTCCCGCACCGAATTTCCAAATGAAAGGAATGCATGCAACGCGAGATTAATTCGACTCTAAGAGCGGGAAAAGTCGACGGTGTGGGGTTCGAGGATGACGTGTCCTCAAGCAAGCGTTCGCTTTGATCCCGGCATAGGGATTAAACAGACTAGAAAAGGGTGCTAATAACACAGCTGTTACATATTCCGAACTCTGGGTGACAAGCGATTCGAAATTTATAGTGGTTTCCGCGGCGTAGAAGCGAATAAAGCCCATATAGTGAACGTTCCAGATTCTGTATTCGGAGATGACCCCGATTCCGAGGCGCGGTGTCGTCACTGGGACCTGGTGTCCACTCTTTTCGTTCGAACAGGTCCTCTGCTTGATCACCTCTGGTGAAGGTCATGCCTCTAATCCCGAACATAAATCTCGAAGCTCCCATCCATAGCAAAGCCGACCGAGGGAACACCTCATGGCATGACCGCGATCCGTCCTCCGGAAAGTTTATGGAGGGACTCGCGGTTCTTTCGAAATCGATAATCATTGCCGCACGAACGAAGCGAGGAAAAAATACCACACTGCTCAGATACGCCGATGCAAGGCAAGGGCCAGACTACCACAGTACTGCGAACGGAGCCGGCGAAGTACCATGTCCTTCATTTCCATCTCGGCAGCTCGTGAAACGCTTTCTGTCTACTTTACCGCAATAAACCGCGGAATGGATTTTGCGGAGAATCTCCGCTGAAGATTCTGTTTTGTTTCTGTTTATTAAAATCGACACGGGAACCCATTCTTAAGAGTTCTTCGGCTCTCACCGCCGCAAGTCGGGGAACCCAAACGCTTGAGGCTTTGCAGAGCGCAAAGAGTCAGTAGGGATGAGATTCCGAAACCACCATCTCGCGACTCCTAATCGAAGCTTCGCCGACGATATCAAACAAACCGAATCTCTCAGCCGAGAAAGGACCGGCGGTTGGACGAGCCGGTTGGACGAGCCGGAAACGCCGTATAATTAATGACATTTGTTTAAGCACAAATAAAAGATGATTTACAGTTTCTCGAGACCATTATC